CCAGATCTCTTTTATGCCTTCCCGCCCCTCAACCTCATTCCCCAGGTGATCAGGAAGATCCTACTGGAAGGTGCCGAGGTGCTGCTGGTCGCACTCCATTGCCCGAGACAATTGAACTGTTGAACTGTCAGTTGAACTGTCAGTGACCAAATGCTTGAACTGTCAGTGACCAAATGCTGGCGCATTCCTCAGGAGCAGATCTCCCTCAGCCAGGGGGCCATTCAGCACCTGGACCCTCAATGGCTCCAGTTGGCCGTCTGGCACTTGAGGGGAATCTCCCGAGGCAAGACAATTTCTCGGACAAGGTCATCCATACCATCCAGGCATCCAGATGTCCCTCCACAGTACGTATCTGTGACATGACCTGGTCTGCCTTTTCATCCTGGTGCCTATCGCGTCAATTTGTCGCCACTGCAGCAACTATTCCACAAATTCTTGACTTCCTTCAGGACAGATTGGACAAAGGTCTTGCCCCTAACACCCTTCAGAGGCAGACGGCTGCTTTGGCCACCATTTTGTCCAGAGACAACTCTGCACCACTCAGCAGACACCCCAGGGTTTGCAGCTTCCTGAAGGGAGCTACCAACTTACGTCCTCCGACGGTCCACCGGTACCTGACCTGGCAGTTGTTCTGCAGATATTGACCTTTGCTCCATTCAAATCATTTCATTCCATCATCTTATGCCACTTGTCATTTAAGACCGCCTTTCTAATTGCAATCACTTCAGCTCGTAGAATCTTTGAATCCCTATCGGTCAGGGAGGACCTTTGCGTTGTTCATCCGGATAGGGTCATTCTTTGTCTTGACCCTTCCTTCCTACCAAAAGGTAACATCTTGTTTCACAGCTCGCAGGAGGTGATTCTCCCGGATTTTTGCCCTCATCCCAGGCATCCCAGGGAGCGAGTTTAGCACAAGTTGGATGTAAGGCGGGCAATACGCATATACAGAAAAGAACAGCTTCCTTCCGCAAGTCCGAATCCTCCTTTGTTTTCTTCCAGCCCGCTTCAATGGGCAGGAAGGTTTCCTCTTCAACTATTGGACTTTGGCTGCGCGCCTGCATAAAGCTGGCCTACGAACATCAGGCCCGGCCGGTTCTTCCTCATATCACTGCCCATTCCACAAGAAGTGCCGCGACCTCAGCTGCATGGGCAACGCAGGCGCCCATCGAGGAAATATGCAGGGCAGCTACTTGGACCTCACCGTCCCCGTTTATTCGTAACTACAAATTGGATTCCTTTGCAGCTGTGGAGGCCTCCTTTGGAAGGAGAGTTCTGCAGCGGGTCCTGGTGGCTCCAGCGGGTCCTGGCAGCTCCAGACCAATGAGATTCCTCTGCTTCCCATCCTGGGACTATATAGCTTGGTTATGTCCCATGTCTGGACACTCCAAGTAGCATCTAGGAGAATGACCGTTGGCTTACCTGAATGGTCATTCTCTAGACACTGCGGGAGTGTCCAACCCCACCCTGGGGTAATCTGGCGGAGCTGAGTCACCTCTCCTGACGACATAGTTCACCTTCTTACGACATCTTTCTGGACTCCACAACATCGTTTTTCAAACTGACTTCCAAAGGGAGCTGGAGGGGTGGCTACACTAAAGATTTAAACTCAGTCATTGGGCAACAAGCTGAAGTTAACCCATGCTTGGACACTCCCACAGCGCCTAGAGAATGACCATTCAGGTAAGCCAACGGTCAATCCATGTAATCTCCATTTGCAATATCTATAGCTATCTATCCCTCCCTCCCTCTCCCCTCCCTCCCTCCCTCTCTCTCTCTCTGTTAGAGGGGGAGGGAAGGGAAGATGAACTCCTCCTGTAGAATGGAAAAAACCACTGGAGCAGTTCCCTTCTGGACAAAGAGGGGAGGCAAACTTTTGACAGGGTGGAGGGAGAGTTGTAGACTGAAAAATTGGGTGTAAAAGATATCTCAGTCCATAGGAGGAGGAGGCACAGGAAGGGACCCTCCCTAGTTTTCTGGAGAATAAAAGAAAAGGAAGGGGGAAATATTTTCAGTCTTGCAAGACCTGTTAATATAATTTTACAATAAAGATAGAACTGGTACTCTTTGTGCCTCTAGTCTGTATTACCTTGAAGGGCTAATACCTGGATCCATCATTCTTCAATATTTTCAGTAATGACTTGAATGAAGAAGAAGGGAGAAATCATATCTGTAGATGACCAGTTGCCTGTTGATGTGGATGTTGGTGAGATCTGAATTAATGGTGACTGTTAAACATATTATAGGAGTAGGGCCCAAAGTACACATCAGTTGTTCCTTTGCAAGTTTTTTGATTGAGGTGCCACAAGGTTTAGGACCTGAATGACTTCAGTGAGGTGGCAGAAAGAATAGTTGCCAAGTCTGCAGATAATACAACATTGGGTAAGATAGCTAACTATCTAAAAGAGAAGAATAACATTTAATTGGACTGAGAAAACAGAATGAAATTTAACAGAGGCAAGTGTAAAGACAAAACAAAGAATGAGGAAAGATTTTGGAATAAAGATTAATTGAAAACTGAATATGAGCCAAAAAGTTCAAGAAATAAATTGTTTATTGGTGTTGAAAATTTGGGTTTTTAATGACTCATCAATGCAAATATTAGTCTAATTTATAATTTATATATGTGAATTGTTCTGAACATTATATTTTAAATGAGTTTTTTAAAAATAGATTAAAAATAGCCATAAATAGTGTACCAAATACTGCATAGCTATGTATTATCGCTGTTAACCTCTACATTTTTGTATATAATGAAATGTAGCTATCTACTACCATGTTTCCCCGAAAATAAGACAGGGTCTTATTTTCTTTTGACCCCTGAAATAAGCACTTGACCTTATTTTTGGGGAGGTCTTACTATTTTTGAGGTGCAGGAGGTCACCTCATGGCTGCGGTTGTGTTACAATATTTTGGGGGAGGGCTTATTTTAGCGCATGCGCTCAAAAGCCAATTGGGCTTATTATCCGGGGAGCTCTTATTATTGAGGAAACAGGGTAACTCTTATTTATGCCATATATTTTTAAAACCCATACTTATTTGGAGTTATTGCAGTACCAAAAGGAAAGTGGGAGGATAGCCAGTTTTAGAACACTTCCCTGCCAGAGGTTACTTAATAGTGATTTATGTTGTTTTTGGAGTTTATGACTGGTAGTGCAGAGTGAGAATTTGAGGGCTGTGTTTCAGAAGGACTGTTACTATTACTCCTTGTGTGGAAAAGTTCATTATGTGTGGATGTGGGCAGACTTTGGTCATAATTGAAATAGGAAGTCTGTAAATTTTCAGAGGAATGTTGCTGAACACATATTTTGTCAAAATAAACATATGCATTTTTGCAATATGACATAGTGGGTTAAGGATTACAGAGTGTTTTACATAGAACTTTGTCCCCAAAGGAAAAAAGGTCATATAAAAAGGCTGCCCAAGTTATGAAAATGTAATGTGGAAAAAGCTCAAAATAATGGGAATAATTCTGTCATTCACTACAAATGATCTTTTAGTCTGATAACTAAAATGTAAAATTCTTGCACAAGTGCGCTTTTGTTTTCTTGAAAGGTCATCTGATTCCATGATAACTCCTCCATTCATATTTTATTTTATTTAGATTATTGTGACTCATTAAAATTATTCATGGAGGGAGGAAACAGTAAATATCTTGGGAACTTCTAATACTGAAATTGCTAAAACTAAGGTGGCATGAGCCTGATTAAAAATGTAAATAAAAATCTCTGATAGCTCCTCTAAGAGCAGGATACTAGTTGAATAAGAAAGTACAGGTGGGAAAAATCTGTTCGGTCCTACGTTGGGTGGCATCCATCTGTGCTGAGGCACACCTGTAAAGTTTGTAAAGCAAGGACCTAAGGCCGGCTGCTTAGCTTCAATTCTTGAAAGATTTTGTGTACTAATTAGCTAATAAAATGAATCAAAGAACATTTAATGTTCATTAAAATTTAATAAATTTTCTTCACTTTCTGATCACTGTTGTGTATGTTCTTCTTTCAGGCATCAAGACTGACAACAATGAATCTGGTGTGAAGACCTTTTGATTAAGCAACTTTGTATAGATTGTTGGTTCTGAGCCTTATTTTGTGGCTAGTATAAGAGGCGCATATCATTAAAATGAATCCTGGATTTGTACAACTACCCCCAGTATTGGGGAGGACTTTGCTGGTTCTGACATTGATTACTTCAGCTAAGTGCCATTGGCCCAGTGAAACCTCAGAAGTTCTACGGGACTGGGAACATCAGTTAGAAGCCTCCATGCATTTGGTGCTTTCGGACCTTCGTGAGAGTGCACCAGCAGTGGTGGGGATTCCAGACAGCTCTGCTGTAGTAGGTCGCACCTTCAGAGTCACCATCCCTACAGAACTTATAGCTTCCAATGGAGAGATTATCCAGGTGAGAATTTAAATTGATTGATTTGATTTGATTTATAACCCTTATGTAGTCTCCAACCTCACACAAGTGACTCTGGATAAAAACATGCAAACTGACCAAAATATATGCCTCGCCCTCCTCTCCCAATAAGAAATTAATAACTATTAACAGAAGCAAAGCTCACTTCACCTATGATCCAAATATCTAGGAAAACACCCAGGTCTTCAATGCTTTATGAAAGGCTAATAGGGTTGGGTGTCATCTTAACCACCGTCTATGTCTGGGTATCTTTGTAATAGGCAGAAGGAATAACTTTGAGGAGCAGAAGGAACAGCCACAACCAAGACAGTGGTCAGATAAAAGATATCTAAGTCTAGGCCAGAAGTATAGCCTGAAGAAGGAACTCAGACCCTTCTTAGTTCCCTCAAAATAAAAGAAAGAAGAGGGAAAGTGCAGTGAGATGTACAAGATTGAAGTCAACCCTTCAAGGTAGATTTACTTAGGCAACCAAAGTCATGCATGCTAATACTACTGTTTCTATAAGGATATAATAACTGTCGTGAGTTGTGGTGGCGCAGTGGTTAGAATGCAGTACTGCAGGGAACTTCTGCTGACTGCTGGCTGTCTGCAATTTGGCAGTTCAAATCTCACCAGGCTCAAGGTTGACTCAGCCTTCCACCCTTCCGAGGTCAGTAAAATGAGGACCCAGTTTGTTGGGCGCAATAGGCTGACTCTAAACCGTTTAAAGAGGGCTGTGAAGCCGTATATAAGTCTAAGTGCTATTAGTGCTATAACAGAATCTTGCAAGTCAGAATGTGCCACCCCTCTTCCTCTTCCTAAAGATTACTCCTGTTTCGGAGACAAGCTATGCCTCATGGCAGGTCCTGCTACCGAGAAGACGTAACTCTGGGATCCAACATGTTGACATTGTTTAAGAGAAGAGATCTGGTGCATGCTCTCTACTAGATCTGGTGAGATGGGCAGAAGCAATAAGAGAAAGATAGTCTTGCATGTAGTTGGCCCCATGCCAAAACGCTTTACAGGTAATAAGCAGCACCTATTGAACTGTACCTAGAAGCCTACTATGAGCCAGTGCAGCTCATGAAACAGTAGTGTTACATGGAGGTAATGAGAAATACCAAAAACTGCCTGCACTGCTATATTCTGGACCATCTACAGCTTCCAAGTACCGTCCCATGCCAAGCACATTACAATAGTCTAATCAGGGGAAGGGTAAGACATGAGTCACTAGAGCAAGGCCTCCTGGTTCAGGCATGGGCACAGATGGTGTACAAGATTAACTTATACAACTGCCCCCCCCCCCGCCACAGCTACCACTTGCACATTGAGCAGGGATTGAGAGGAAATTTCACACCAATTTCTGACTAGGAAAGTGTACTCACATGTAGAGTTAAAGAGGTAAAATCCTCTGAACTAGGGGCTTTAAAACTCCATCTTACCAGGGTTGAGCCAAAGCTTTTTCTCCCCCATCACAGCTTCCAGACACTGGGAAAGGTTCTTGACATCATCACATGGTCAGTCCAAGGAAGAGATGTGCAATTGGATATCATCAGCATACTGATGATTCCGTATCACTTACCTACAGATGACCCACACTCAGCAGTCTCATATACAGTACTACTTAAAAGTTTGCAAGCCCTTTCGAATTTTAAATATTTCTACATAAACATGATCTAAAATGTGATCTATTCTCATTAGGGTCTAGTCCTGCAACTAGATAAAGAGAACACAATTAAACAAATGAATCAAAACCATTATACATTCATTAAGTTATTGAGGAAAATAATCTAATGTTACATATTTGTGCATGGCAAAAGTGAGGCAGCTTGTCAGGCACAACTTTATTGTATAATTCTCCAGTGAAAGAAGTTGTTGTGATGATGATGATTGACTTTTCTTTTAGTGGGAAAAATGCTGGCACAACTGACCTACCTTTGTTTCTTTTATTTCTTTCTGGACTGTCAGACAAAAAGTTAATTTGCACCCATAACTGAAAGGTCACCTTTATAGAAAGATAAACTTGGAATCATTTATGAGATACAAATGGCTTCCCAGACTATAAATAACTAAAGTAGTTCCCACTCTGACATTTCATCTCTTTCTTGCCCTTTCTTCTCTTTCATTGTGTCTCCCCTCTCCCCCCCCAACAAAGAGCTACTTATTATTCTGGCAATAAAAAAGTCCTTTTTAGAGTGACTTCTTACGTTAGGATTGTGAGGCTTATACACAAAACATGAATTTGTCAACTTGAAAGTTTACTAAAAATATAAAACACATCTGGCTACACAATTACTACACTGAGAAAATTCAGAAGTGATGGTTATTTTATTGTATTGAATAAATGCTTCTTACCATCCTAGTCAACTGTCTTATTATGCCTCAATAAAAACTGTTAGCAAGAGATTTCACTCACTCAATTTGCATTATTTTGTATCTCGAAATACAATCTGAAATGCAGCTACTGGAACTTCATTTTCAATTTGTGTGTATAAGTTGTTTCATTGTACTTTTATTTGGCCAGCAGTTTTGGTGTTATATATATATTTGTGTTATGTTGGTGGCAGCAAGAATATATTATGCACAAAAATGGAAGCACACTTCGATCTCCACAAAGGACAAATGGCTGCAAAAGTTGATGGAGTTAGCAGAGATGGCTAAATTGACTTTGATTAAAGAAAAGAACACAATTAATATATTTTCATATAAAAGTAAAAAGTTTGGATTTTACCTTATTCTACTGCACAAAGGGAGTCAGAAGTCAGTGTTTTTTTCTTTTTCCTCTTTTCCCTACACTTTTATCTCCATTATATTCCCATTATTTTCATTTTTCTTCGTTTTTCTGTACTTTACATTTTAATAAACTAATAAAAATAGTTGAACCATTTTATTTGGCCAGCAATGTCCATGCTGTTCATAGAAAAGCCAGTGGGCATTATTTTACAGCTTAAAGCTTTTAGTTGCATGTACTACTGAATCTTGCCATTAGCAGGCAAGAATATGCTTGCAACTTGTTAAGTGATTTCCAAGATGTAAAGAAATGGTTTTCCTCTTTCCCTTTTAAGCTGTTTACATTTATGCTCTAAGAATCTCAGTAGTTTTTGAATGGAATGAATTACAGGCAAGCGGTAGAGGTATTAATTTTGAATAACTTCAGAGGCTTCATTGTATAATTGACTGAATTTCAGTATGAGAGCACCTTATAAGAAAAGATAAGAAACTTCATATATCATCTTGATTTCTAGGTAACCCACTTTTCAAAAGGAATAAAATCTCTTATTCAAATTTGATGTCTTACATTTTATTCAGCTTGCCTTATGCAGCAGGCATGGAATTTTAAAACAGGAAGGCCCCTGAGATCAAACATTTAGGATCCATGAACTGCATAATAGATACTTATGAAGTGACATCTGCTTTGATGAAATGATTCAGACAATCCTGATTCACTTCAAGTGAAATAATGTGACCTTGTGATTTGTGATTTTAGATATTCATTTAGCATATTTGTATGGCCACCCATTTCACAAGAAATTATTCTGGGAAGCATACAACATTTAATTCAAAAATAAAATGATTCTCCTTGAAGTAGCTAGTGTGAGGAGCGACAACTCTTCCCAGCCTAATCCCTTGGTGTTCCCTGAAAAGCATCTGCCCAGCCTTGGCAGGAAAAAGCTCAGTCATCTTCTGTAGCATGAGTTCTGTAGCTTAGCTTCATTATGCCAAAGTTTCAAACAAAATAAAGTTCTTGTTCAAAGCTTTGCACAACTGTACAGCATAATAGAGGCAAGGTGAAAGAATACATTTATTACGCATCAAATATTGCATAAAATTGAATTCCTTTTTAATGCTAAAAGGAACAAAATAGTCTTTTGAAGTAGACTTTACTTCTAAGTTCCAAGGACTAACCTTTCCATTTTCTTTAGTTAATTGATTAGTCTAATTTTTGGCATCCATATGAACCTTTGTTGGATTAGCTTTTATCAGCTGCTTTGAACTCCTGAATATGCTTAATGTTTTTTAATCTTGTGATATCTTAACTTTTTAAAAATTCTTGGATTTATTAATTCCCCTTTGCAAGCAAGAAAATAAAAATTAGTAGCTCAATAATTATTGCACATTAGTTTGTTGGTTAGCCTGTATTATAAAATCCCATACTTTGTAGATAATTTGTTATTTAATTATGAGGTAACATCCCCTTGAAAAACTTGCAAACCTTTGTGAATTATTTGACACTTTGATCACTTCGAAAATACAGATGCTACATATGTGTTATTCTTCTATAATTGAATTGGAGAAAGTTCAAATGGAATCAACTTTGACTGGCACATCTATTTTCTGAGATGAGCAATGGTGGTGCAGTGATTACAGTACTGCAGGCTACTTCTGCTGACTGCCGGCTGCCTGCAATTTGGCAGTTCAAATCTCACCAGGCTCAAGGTTGACTCAGCCTTCCATCCTTCNGGAAAGTGCAGTGAGATGTACAAGATTGAAGTCAACCCTTCAAGGTAGATTTACTTAGGCAACCAAAGTCATGCATGCTAATACTACTGTTTCTATAAGGATATAATAACTGTCGTGAGTTGTGGTGGCGCAGTGGTTAGAATGCAGTACTGCAGGGAACTTCTGCTGACTGCTGGCTGTCTGCAATTTGGCAGTTCAAATCTCACCAGGCTCAAGGTTGACTCAGCCTTCCACCCTTCCGAGGTCAGTAAAATGAGGACCCAGTTTGTTGGGCGCAATAGGCTGACTCTAAACCGTTTAAAGAGGGCTGTGAAGCCGTATATAAGTCTAAGTGCTATTAGTGCTATAACAGAATCTTGCAAGTCAGAATGTGCCACCCCTCTTCCTCTTCCTAAAGATTACTCCTGTTTCGGAGACAAGCTATGCCTCATGGCAGGTCCTGCTACCGAGAAGACATAACTCTGGGATCCAACATGTTGACATTGTTTAAGAGAAGAGATCTGGTGCATGCTCTCTACTAGATCTGGTGAGATGGGCAGAAG